ATAGCAGGGTTTTACACCTTTTCATTATTAAGCTAAGCAGTTACCATTATTAATGGTAATTTAAAATTTGCACAAGAGACATCATTCTCTTGGGTTAGAGATGTCTAATACATCACTTTCCGGGATTTTTAAAGATTGTATGAACAAACATGACCCTTTTTGCGTTATATGGATTAGAAATATCTCTAAGAAGGAAGAACGTTATATCACTCTGTAGTTTGCTTTTGTGAAACTGTTTTAAATTGAATACTCACTAGTACTCATGTTGGCATGTGGTAAACTACCAGTGTTGAAACTCACTCTCAGTAGCAGCTGCAACTGCATTTATCTGACCTCAGTTTTATCTGGGCACTCAAAAATGGATGGTCTATCAGGTAGTCTATCATATTATTTTTAAAATTCTAAAAAGGGGTATCTCATCCTCAAAAATGCATAAATTCTAAGGATTCAGGGTAAAACCATGTCTAGGATTTGGAAAGGGAACAGAAGCTAGGATAGTAAAGGTAGTTTAGGACAGCAATTAATAAGACCATATCTACCCATTTTCATTGGGAATGAATGAATTAGGGACTGTAATTTTACTAACTTTACAAATAACTCAATATTCATTTTCTTACTTCAATGTTATCTCCTTAATATCAGAAAGAGCACAAATATCAGAAAGCATGATTCGTGATGTAATAAAATCTCATCTCCTTTCTTAATTTAAAATATTTCCTTTTATATTACTCCCCTTTGATTCTGTCTTTCATATCTTCTTAAAAATGTTTTCTTTACATTCTGACTTTGATCACACTGGAAATTAATTTTGCATTTTTTGATTAAAAATGTTCCAAATTATTTTTCTTAAATGTGCTTCTGCCTGGGCCATCAGTCCTATAAGAAGGAGCATTAGAATTCTGTCTTCATTAACATGTAAGCAAGGCATCAGTCAACACTCTCAATGGGAAGCCTTGCATTTGAATAGGTGAAACGTGGGAACAACTCCCTTCCACTAATCTATGTGCTGATGTCAAAAGTCACTATTAGATACACCCTGTGAATGGTAAAAGTCTGATAACCCAAATTTTAGATAGCCTACTTTTCACATTTTTAACGTCTGGGTATCGTGAAGGTTTTCTTCCCCCAATTCCTTAACTATTCTACCTTTGCTTCTGTATGCACACATTTTAAATTATGCATTGTCTAATTATTGTAGAAATATGTTGACATAATAATGCATGATATCACATTTATCTGAATTTCCTCATGGCAAAAGGTGACAACGGAGGCTGATACCGGGTCCCTCTCCTACAGAGGCAGCTGGTGACCCAGGAACATTGCCCCCTCACCCGCCCCACCGCAGTCTGCCACCAGGCCTTGACAGTAAACTGCTGTGCTCAGAGCTAGACTCTGGTCCCTGGAGGTTTCTGAGATTAATTTGGATTTGGCAGATGTCAGAGGCTAGGTAATAGGACTTTTAGAATAAAGGGAACCACATCTCTAAATATAATCTACATCTTTGCTGCTTGCTTGCTTTTTGGTGGAGTTTTAAATTGTGAAAATGCCTATGATGATTTGTTAAAGTGAACAGTTATTACATGTTCTCTTCAAAGTCCTTAACTTTGATTTATTAAAGTGATTGTATAGATGATTGTGTGGTTATTACTAAACACATAAAAATCACCCAACAAGGTAATAACTGGTTAACCTTGGTTAAACAGTTTGCAGCTTAACAGTGGGAAAAATAAAAAATGGACAAAACATCAACATTATTAAGAATTAGCAAAAATTTTACCTATTAGAAACATGTTGAGAAGCACTTATCAATGGAAGCATTATAATGTCAACTGTCACTTGCCCTTCATAATCTGCTCCTGGTCTAAGTGACTTTACTTCCAGTTTTTTACTATTTTGGGAACGTCCAGAGGGCAGATGTATTCCTAAAAGTTGAATGTGACTTTAAATTAACGACTTTACCTTAAATTCACTTTGTACCATGTTTTCAACTAGATTTTTCTCATATGTTATTTTGGGATTAGCTCTCAGGGTTTCTTGAACCCATTGCCCAGGTTGAGAGTGACACTAAGTCTGACATTTTAGGCAAGAGATAACTTGCCTAACTTAATTCTGTACATAAAATGTGAAAGGTGGGACAACATGGGACGGGGATTTTAGAATAAATTAGCTTTGATTGATTTCAAATTATTTCATTGGATTTGGGAAGGACAGAGGACAGAGAGTAAAGGAGTGTTCATTGTTCATAACTTTTTCCTCATTTTCTATTATTTTCAATATATTTTTTGCTCTCACAGTGATGAAATGTAAAGATATTTATTTTGATTCAATCTAGATGGCAAAGGTAAGTTTTAAAAAGCAACTGAAAGCTCTTGGAATCAATCTGAGAAATCTCTAGGTATGGCAAGGCTCTCGCTTATTACTCATAAAAGAAGGGAGACAATGGTTGGGGCCTCAAGTAGGATTGTTGGGCTTCTACTTCAATGGGAGGCTGCCAATGGTCATATTAAATGACAGTATTTCTTAATACTGCTTTCATTAACAGGTCAGCCTCTTACTCAAAAGGATTAGGGCTTCTAAATTGCAAATTGTACTGCAACTACAAAGTCATAGAATAGGGAATGAAAAATCAGTAATATTTCCACATATCAAAATTCCCAAAGTGAGTCAAATGGAACATGAGCTCCTTGGAATGTTATTAGGTGCTATGCAAAAAAAGTCTCTGTGGTGAAATTAATCTGGAGAACACTAAGCTAACTGAAATTACATCTGTGGTGTGTTTCTTCCCCCCTGCAGGACATTTAAATTAGAAGCTTCTATGTGCTTATATGCACTAACTTTCTAAGACAGTATGTTTTCCAAACTCCTTTGACCCTGGAACACTATATTTGGAAGAGTATCTTTGGAACTTGGGTTCTGTGGAATCCACTTTGGAAAATACTGGGATTCTATTACTCCTGTGGTGTGCAGCTAACTAGCTCAGAAGTCTAGATATCAATGATTTAATCTAGAGGCTGTTAAATAGGCCCCAGTGTGGTATCTAACAGTCATGTCATTTCTGGGTCAGGAATGCTGGTGTGACGAGCTAAGGCAATTTGGGGGGAATAATAAGGGAAGATCAGTCTAATGATGGGTCACAAGGAGGGGGGAAATTCTGAAATCATTAAATAATGGTTTATCCAGAGTATGTATTCCTATATTTTCAAATGTACAATGAAATGTTGCCCTCTCTAAACCTTCTGTGTTGACTCAGATGCAAGAGAGTTTGATCTGGCAACAACCCAGGGCAAAAAACTTAGGAAAATCAAGGTATACCTGGCAAAGAAAAAAGTGATCCCGCCCAGCTGGGCGTGGCTCAGCGGTTGAGCATCGACCTAGGATACAGGCCATCAGGGTTCGGTTCTCGGTCAGGGCACATGCCCGGGTTGCGGGCTGCAGCCGATCAACGGTTCTCTCATCATTGATGTTTCTATCTCTCTCTCTCCCTCTCCCTTCCTCTCTCTGAAATAAATAAAGATATATTTAAAAAAAAAGAAAAAAAAGAAAAAAGTGATCCCTGCCTTTGTGAATCCCTCATGTATTGCCAGATATTCCAGTGATCCAATTCAATAGAGTAATCAATTTCCTAAAATTACTTTAGATGGGATTGAAACAATGATGCCATCACTCTCACGCAATCCTGTTTGCACAAACTGTACGTGGGTTAGAATCATTCAGTTGCATGAAATAAGGCCTATTTTAACTTACCCAGGTTGCACATGCTGCTTCACTCTATAAAACACTCTGTGTAATAAGAGTATTACATAGACAAGAGTCAAGAGGCCAATACCTTTAAGCTAAGGCAGAAACAGAATGTGGCCACTGGTAACCAGCAATGTGTACGTAGGTGTATTACTTCAGAGCTAAGTGCCTTGGGCTAATTGGTCACATAAAATAAATGCAGGTCTTGGGAACTAGCTTTGGAATTTTCTATATAAGTATTGTTTATTCCTTTGATTAAAGAATTGCAAATACAATGAATTTTTTAAAAATGTCCC